TGTAGGGTGCTGATAGAGTAGTTTCTACATGTTGAGAGTCTATGTCTAGGCTTGTATTAAGGCATCCTCTCAGGAGACAAAAGGCCCTTGAAGCACCGCTAGCCTTAGGCCTTTCTAGCAACAAAAAAATGTCCTTTTTTTTCTACTCTACATGCCAAACAGAGAGGCCTCTTTGTGCTGGATGCAGCCGAACTCCATTGGCAGCATTGGTGGGAGTGTGCTGTTCTCTGTACTTTACAAGCTAGCACTTGTCTGCCTTTTATATGTGTGTCACTCTTGTCTGCCTATATTACCTGACACTCCAGACCATAGTAAATGGTCATATTTGTAATGTGTGAAGATACAATTTTATTTTTAGGAATAACAGTGCGTTCTTCTTTCCTCAAAGTAATCCCAACTCTATCATCCTTCTTTTCCCATATCCTGGGATTTGACCATATCTCTTAGAAATAGTTTCTCTTTTCCTTCCAATGTAAATCTAGTGTGGGAACTCACTACTTGGCTAAATTCCTAAGCCTCCAGTCTATTGTCTTCTAGGATACAGTCATTGAGCATACCATACCTGCCTTATTTCCTTCCCCTACCACCTTTCTTGTCTCACCTCCTGTGCCTCTGCATGTAATTTCATCTATCTTCAAAGTCAGTCAGCATCAGAACTTTCCTCCTGAGCTCCAGCATCTTCCTGAGGACATTTTGCTTTTAACTTTGTTTCATGCATGATGTCTTCCTGGCTGGCTGTTTTGTATCATGTACCGAACTTCTCTGTGACAAAAATGGGAGAATGAAGTGACTGGTCCAAATTTTCCAACTTTTGTAGATTATGTGAGCTTCGTTTGACCGAAGCAACCTAAGATACGAGGCATGCCTGTATGAGGAATGTCTATTTTTTTTGACAAACATTTCAGAAGTTACCCATCTGCATGAACTGAATATTTTTAGAGATGTTGTTTGGAGGCCCACAGTTAGAACATTTCTGGAACTCCTCATTTAGGTTAGTTATTTTTTGAGTAAATTCTTATTGATGCCCTTGTATATTAAACTTTTATATTAGAAATAGTGAATAAGCAAAAATGAATAGAACGTGGTTCATAAGCCTTCAATGTTTCCGGACCATTAAAGGGAAATTAGACAACATCTGACAAAAGATAGTTTTTGGTAAAGATGTAGATCCTAAAAGAGGAGAGTGATGAAAATCACCATATTATTCTGCCTCTAAATATTTTTTTGGCTTTTTAGTGCTCACAGCAGTGGTTTTCAAATTTGAGAAATGTACATATTTCTTCTGGGGAAAATAATTTATATCTGCAGTGCTGACTTAAATTATTTTTGTTTGGTTATTTAAATATATACAAACATAATGAAGTTTAAGTTGCTGTATTAAATTTGTAACAAATATAAATAAAACAGATTTATACTTTTAAATAAAAATAAGCTCTAAATTTAATGAAATGGTACCTTTTTGCAGCAACTGTACATGCCAAACTTTCAGTTGCTCCCAGACTCTTTAGTTCATCATTGTATTATTAGGTGCCACCTGATGACTCATTCCTCCCACTATTTTTCACCATTTCAGCTACTGCAAACTTTGATATGTATAAAATATCATGATCTCATTTGACTTCATTTGGTATGAATGTATTCCCTGTGTATTAACTCCACTTCAGTTCCTTTACATAGTAATTGACTTTTGACAAAGTAGAGAGTTAAATTTGTTTTCTTTATGTCTAAATACCACACAAATATAAAAATTATTTTAAAAGAATAATTTTTATAATTATCCATTAAAAAATTGCAACATTATATTAAGGGACAATTAGCTGTCATCTCCAGGTATAATGAAGATGTGGTTTGCCATGTTGCAAATGATCAATATTTATTTCAGTTAGAATTGGCTTCTATTATGACAAAAAAATCCTCTCAATCTGATGTAAGCAAAAGAGGAAAATTTACTTATTGTCCCCAAATTGAAATATTATAAATAGGACTGTTCTGACTTAGGGTTTGGATGATGTCATCTGGATTCACCTCTTGGTTCAGCTTTGCCTCTCAATTAAGGCTTTTAGCACCATCAGGGAGGAGAGATAGATGGATAGATATAGATAGATTGTAATAGCTTAGAACACCATTTGTGGAGCCAGTCTACCTGAGACTAAATCTTGGCTTTACCAATTCTTAGTTGTATAACCTCGGGAAAGTTATATAATCTTTCTGTGTCTCAGTTTTATCATCTGAGGATAAAATGAGGATAAATGAGGATAAAATGAGAATGGTGATGGTAAAGATTAATGAGTTAATATATCTGAGGTGCTTAGAATAGTACCACGATAAGTGATGCTGTATATTAATATTATTATTATCAATATTATAGTTTGGGATCATTTCATACAAGATGTCAGGGGTAGAAAAGCAAGTCTATTCCCTATGGGCCAAATAAAAATCCTGGTTTTTAGTTTCTTCAACTTCAAGTTGGGTTAAGTGCTCATTTCTGAATTGAGCGCTCTGGACAAGAGGATGGACTATATTACATTAATTGACTTAACGTGGCTTATATTCTTATTAAAAATATTTTTAAGAGAGAGAGAGAGAGAGAATTTTAATATTTATTTTTTAGTTTTCGGCGGATACAACATCTTTGTTTGTATGTGGTGCTGAGGATTGAACCCGGGCTGCACGCATGTCAGGCGAGTGCGCTACCGCTTGAGCCACATCCCCAGCCCTTAAAATATTTTTTAGTTGTAGGTGGACACAATGCCTTTATTTTGTTTATTTATTTTTTATGTGGTGCTGAGAATCGAACCCAGAGCCTCGCACGTGCTAGATGGGCACTGTACTGCTGAGCCACAACCCCAGCCCCACGTGGTTTATATTCTTTACGCCTACCAGTTGATTTAGCTTTGTCTGAATCATATTACCTGAGAGCAAGTGGTGATTTTCCTAATTCAAATTCAGAGTACTATTGCCACCAACAGGAGAAGTGGATGCTTGGTTGTAAAAATGACCCATATTTATTAGGACCTATCAAATAGATCAATCATATTAGGTGATCATGTGATGTTATGACAATCTCTCTGGGTACAGTTCTTGGCAATTTATATTGAGTAGTGGAACATTTATCTTGAAAATTTGAATTATAGTTAAGAAAATATATTTTATATAAAAATATCAGTTTTTGTCTCTAGGTTCTTTTGTGTTATAAACCTAAATTTGAGGCATATTGGTAATTGATTTAAAGCACATATGTCATAAAATTCCAGGCAAATATCTTCTAGCKATTTTGCTTTAACACAATTATGAACACAAATGCTATGTGGTTAATGAAGTTGAGAGCCTGTACTCTTACATATGTAGATAATCCAAACTATATTTTTGTTTTTTAATTTAAGATTATCTTCAAAATAAAAATATAAAATTGAAACATTCTAATAGTAAATTATCTTGACCTGTGCTATTCAACAGAACTTTTTTTTTAAATAATGGAAATTATATGTATTCTGTGTTGTTCAACATGGTAGCCAGTAGTCACTTCTAGCTATTAGGCATTTGAAGGGTGGCTAGTGCTGTTGAGGAACTGAATTTTTAATTTTATCCAAGTTTAGTAAGTTTATATTCAAGTCAGCACTTGTGGCTACTGGTTATTACTTGACAGCACAGCCCTGAATAGCATCATTGAATAAGAGAATAGATACAAAGTGCCTAACATGTTTTATAAAAAATGCATAAAAGATAGGAGTAGAGAGGTTTATACTTTTCTTCCTATGTAGGGTTGGATCTCTCTTAGCAGGCCAGAGCAACCTGAAACAGGCTTAGCTTTCTTAGCATGGCAGTCAAGACACTTCATGACATGTTTTCAATTTCCTTCTGCTACTACATTCCATAATTTAGATACATTAAATTTCACATTTTTCTTTGCACCTGCCTTCATTCTGTATCTGGTGCATTCTTTCCTGATATTCATGAAATGTTTCAGATGAGCTCTTACTATTTTATCTTTTGGCACCAGGTATTGAACCCAAGGGCACTTAGTCACTGAGCAACACCCCCACCCCTTTTATATTTTATTTTGAGACATGTTCTTTCTAAGTTGCTTAGGGCTTWGTTAGGTCGCTGAGGCTGGCTTTCAATTTGTGAGCCTCCTGCATCAGCCTCCTTAGTCCTTGGGATTACAGGCATGTGCCAGTGCACCAGGCTTCTTACTAATTTATTATCTTTTAAGTTGCAATTTATCATTTTCCCTGAGCCTAAACCCTGGTCAGATATTTCCTTTCTCCTCTGTGCTTGTTGTCTATTTCTTATCAGAATCTATGCTTCACTGATGCTGTTTAGTTTTTGATCTCTTCCACTGGAATGGGAACTAACTTTTTGTAGGCTTGGCTCCAAGTAATCCCTTTATGAACACTTAGTTGGATAATTGAATGATGGATGAATGGATGGGTGGTTCTAAACCTTGTCACATTTATAATTTAAAAAACATTTTAAAATAAACTTTATTGAGATATAACTTACATTTAAGAAGATATACCTATTTTAAATAGTTTGATGAATTTGATGGGTGTTATCATTTGTGAAATCATCATCACTTCAAGATACAGAATATTTCTCTCTCTTTTTTTAAGTTGTCAGTGGAATTTATTTATATGTGGTGCTGAGAATGAACCCAGTGCCTTACACATGCTAGGCAAGTCTCTACCACTGAGCCACAACCTCAGCCTAAGATACAGAATATTTCTGTCATCTCAGAACATTGCATTATGTTCTTTCCCAGTTAGGTCCTGGCTACAGCCAACCATTGATCTCCTTTCTATCACTATACATATGTCTTTTCAGGGTTTCATATAAAGAGACTCATACAGTGTGTACTCCTTTCATACTTGGAATGTTATGGGCAAGGGAGATGTTAAACTCAGAAACGTGTTAAATGTTATGGTCACATATGATCATAACAATAAGTACAAGCAATGTTTGACATTTTAGAATCATAATTTACTTTTCTCTTTCCACAGTATACAATTGGACCGTGGATGAGGTGGTACAGTGGCTGATTACATATGTGGAACTGCCTCAGTATGAGGAGACCTTCCGGAAGCTGCAGCTCAGTGGCCATGCTATGCCAAGGTCAGGAGGGGAGTACTGTTTTTTTTTCTTACCTGAGAGCATAAGGAATGGGCTGGAAGTGAGTCTGCCTTCAGGTTGTTCTGGCCAGTTAAGTGAGGTTTTAGCCTTTTGGGGGCAGAGTCTATAGACAACTCCTCTTAACGTCTGTTGTGCATTTGTTATAAAGCACGATAGATACTTTGCATATATTCACATTAGTCTTGGAATAGTACTAATAGCTGCCAGTTATTGAGTGCTTAGTACATGCCAGGCATTCTTCTCAACACATTATATACAGTATCTCATTGGATTTTTTCATTTTCTTAACACATTATATACAGTATCTCATTTGATTATAACATAAATCTTGTAAAGATGGATATTATAGTATATAGCTGATGATACTGATTAAGTAACTTTTCCAAGGTCACAAACATGACTAGTTAGGGGCAAAACTATGATTTGTCTGTGGTGTTTCTTTTTACTTTTCTTGTTCTCCCAGAAGCTACCCTTTGATCACCCAGGAGCCTCAGGACTCTTTTAGCCTCCCCTGGGTTATCCACATACAATTTATTTGCTTTGACAAAAATGGTACAGAGATTGGGGCCAACTGCCATTGTTTCTCTCATCATTGGAATGACTTCTCCAATAGCTGTTGTGTTATAACTTTTTGCCTTTTTTTGATAGGCAAAACATGCTAGAGCTTGAAGTGGGAGTGGGAAGGGATGGAGCAGTACTTGGACTTCTTATTATGTCAAACTAGTCATTTAGTCATTAATCCATTTATGTCATTTAGTCATTAATCCATTTACTTATTCATTCAATAAATATTTACTGGGTACCAGCTTTGTGCCAAGCACTTGTGCTGGGTGCTGGGGATAAAGATGACAACAACCTGCCCTTGCAGGGCTTACCCTCTGGTAAGTGCTCGTTATGTATAATCTGTCATTTTATTATGTAAGTACATCTTATTATGAGCTTCAGCACAAGGGGAAGGGGAAGGTAAAGCTGTTGTAATGCACACACATTGCGTTCTTCAGCCACAGAGTTACCAGACACTGCTGATCAGGCCTAGCTGAGCTAGCTCACCTCCCCTGCTTCCTGCAGCCTTCTCCTCACAGCTTTTTCTTACTCTCCAGAGTAATGTTTGTACTTTTCTTTATAATAAAGCACTCTACTAGTGTGTATCTCTGCACCTACCTATTACTCTAGTTCTCACAATTCTGGAAGGAAGGAATTACTATTCCATCTTTTGAGTGAGCAAATTGAATTTTAATATTTTATAATTTGTCAGGCTGGTAAGGGACAGAGCTAGGATTTGAGCCCAAGCCTGCCTTATTCTAAGTACCCTGTTTTTTTCACTTCATCTTCCTCTTGTGCTGTGTGGTTGAAGATAGGCTGATTTGTAATATTCAATTTAGTTCTATTAACAAAACTTCATTAAGCACCTACCACATGCCATGCTTTCTGCTAGGCCTTGAGGACTAAGGTGTAATAGATCTGACCCCTATCTTGGGGAACTCCATGTCCATTGGAAAAGGAAGACAAATGAATAGATGATTGACCATAAAGTTCTAGGATGTAGATTTCTTTTTTGCCACTCATGGAAACAGCACTATAGCCATGTGGATTCTTGGCTTATTTCATTAGAAGTAATGGCTATAGTTTGAATTTAAAAACTTCAAAGCATAGAATAAAAAGTCAGTTCTCAGATTATGAATCTATTTAGTCCTCTTGGGACTAGGATTAGAGCCAAGACCAGGTCCAGCCAGGATGGGCACAAGAGTAGAAGATGGCAAACTGTGGTGCCTTTAGTGAATGAGGTGGAGCAGTAGTTCTAGGGCCATCACCAGCTAATATGGTATAAAGGGAAGAATCTAGCAGATCTGAGTTCACTCTCTGTCTTTGCCAGTTACTTATATGTGATTTTGGGCAAGTTACTCAACTCTTTTAGTTTTCTTATCCACAAAATGGAGCTAATAATAGAACTGATTTCCTCCCTCCCTCCCTCCCTCCCTCCCTCCCTCCCTTCCTTCCTTCCTTCCTTCCTTCCTTCCTTCCTTCCTTCCTTCCTTCCTCCTTTCCTTCCTTCCTCCCTTCCTTCCCTCCTTTTTGGTATCACAGGTTGAACCCAGGGGCATATCCCCAGCCCTTTTTTTTTTTGTATTTTATTTAGAGACAGGGTCTCACTAGGTTGTTTAGGGCCTTGACAAGTTGCTGAGGCTGGCTTTGAGCTCTTTATTCTCCTGCCTTCCAAGTTGCTGGGATTACAGATGTGCATCTCTGCGCCCAGCTAGAACTGATTTCTTAAGGTTGTTGAAGGACTGATTGAGGAATTGTATGTAAAATGCCAGAATAATACAAGATCCATAGTAATTGCTTGGTAAATGCTAGCTCCTTTTTCTTTTCTATTGTTTAGAAGTAGAGAACATGCCAGTTCTTAGGTATCCTTGGGAAATAGACTGTAGAAAATATGGTAATATTTATTTTGCTTAGTCAGATACTAAGTCTGTCACACCTGACAGAAATGATTCAAAGAGGAGCCTTAAGAACTTCCAGGCTTGTAAGAAGCATCTGATTTTACATAAGTTTTACAAAGAAGGAAACTGAGGTCCTAGAGGAGAGACCTAGCAGACAAGTGAATCACTGGTAGAGCTGGGACTAAAAGCCAGATCTCCTGATGCCCTGATCACAGTGCCTCACTGCCTTTCTTGTAGGTGGCCTTGATTACTTTCCAAGATCAGAAGAGGAAGTAGCTTGCTCCTGAATGCTAAGACAGGAGTATAAACCACTTACTGTGAAGTCAGAAGTTTTTCTTCTGTCTGGGGAAATAAAGCTGTGTATCAGATAAAGGCACCACTTACAGAGAGTATCTTTGAGTCAGAAAACTGACCTATACTTTTTGCCTTAACAGGCTAGCTGTAACCAATACCACCAAGACAGTAGTATAGTATTAAATGTTCATCTTATGACCTAAATGACTTAGACTCTTTCCTCCTATACCTACTGTGTTCCAACCGAGAAAAACGAAGTCCAGTTTTCTAAAAATTTTTAAATATATATTTTTTAGTTGTAGATGTACATAATACCTCTATTTTATTTATTTTATTTTTATGTGGTGCTGAGCATCGAATCCAGTGCCTCACATGTTGTAGGCAAGTACTCTACCACTGAGCCACAACCCCAGTCCTAGTCCATTTTTCCCCCCTAGGCTATTTTCTTTTTTATAGACTCTTTCTTATTAAAGTTATCATTGACACTGTGGTCGAAGGTCTTAAAAATTACAGAAATCTGATCTGAAGTAAATTGTATTGCAGTGACTCAAATACATGCCAATAAGACTAACTCAAATTCTGTCATCATCAGGTTTACATATGATGACAATTGGTTAGGATTAGTATAATTCAGAAGTCCCTCTAATCCACTGGGTTATGCAGTGTGGCATTTTGACCTGGGCTGGACAGGAGAATGCATTTATAAGAGGTAGGATGTGGGGCAGATTATATAGAGGTTAATTCCTGGAAGGAGAAACAACAAAAAATTTATAAAGTTTATAAATTTATAAAATTTTACACCTGTGAAAATTTTAATGGGTAACCCTTAGAGGGTGGGTTACTTATGAGATGGTGGATATGGGGAGAGGGTGAACAAATTCCTAGTGAATGTTTTTTATCCCTCCGTACTCCTTGCTGAGACCCTGTTGATATAACTCTGTGTCCTAGAATGCAGAGGGAGCAATCACCAAGAGCTTAAAGTGTTCCTGGAGGAGGTGGRTAATCTTTCTGGATCCTTCCTGCCTTTGTTGTCAGGGAACTGACCCATTAATTTTTGCCTCAACAGGCTAGCTGTAACCAATACCACCATGACTGGAACTGTGCTGAAGATGACAGATCGGAGCCATCGGCAGAAGCTGCAGCTGAAGGCCTTGGACACAGTGCTCTTTGGGCCTCCTCTCTGTGAGTCTTGTGTAGAGAAGGGCTGCTGCTGTGCAAACCCAAATCTGACAGAGTAGCTAGGCTGAGGTCCTGGGTCTCCTGGGCACACTTCTAATGCAGCATCTGCACTATTTTCATTGATATTGAGATATGAAACAGTTTTGTATTTTAGTCTAGCCAGATATCAACCTCCATTTATTACATATTTTAGACTTCTGCTTTGTTCCAGTGCTGTGCTGGACTCTGTAGGATGACCTGGTTGAATCATTTTCTGCCCTGAAGGGATAAAATGAGACTTCTAGGACATGATGTAGTTCAGTGGTTGAGCATGTGCCTAGCATGTATGAAGCCCTTGCACCTGAAAGAAAGAAAAGAAAGAGTATTCTGGTATTCTAGTATTCAGAAAGATCATGCTTCTGAGGCCCAGAGGAGTGGTATAGAAGGTATCCCATGGAAGAGGTAGTGTGTAAGCTTTATTCCATGGATGTGACAGAAGAGGACATTCTAGATGGAGAAAATAACTTGAGCAAGAGTTATTTACAAAAGATAAAATATAAAAGGTATGATCAGGGATAGCAATACATAATGGGCTTAACCCACTTCAATCTAATGTATGAAATATGATATGTCAAGAGCTTTGTAAAGTTGTGAACAACCAATAAAAAAAACGACTTGAAAAAAAAATACATAATGGGCTAAATGTCATTTAGCTGTTATATTGAGATATGTACATGTGCAGAGTGAAGAAGCTGATTACTGATCATTTTTGYGTCCTTGAATGACCAAGGAACACTAAATGAGCTTTCACTGAAGCAGTAGAGACATGCTAAGAAAGGGTTGTCTCTTTAGCCAGGGGCTGAGAACATTATGTAGTTCAGTCCCTGGAGATCTGCGTGGTGGGAATGGCCAACCCTGCCATCATTTTTCTTATTTTATGAACCAAATGAGAATAGAAGTAGTGAGATTTTTTAGGAAATTAGCATTGGCCACGTAGATTCATAGAGCCCACCCTCTGCCCTTTGAAAGCTGCCCTCATTAGTTGAGGATACAGCAGCAGAATACTGTAGAACCAGAACCCAATCTAAAGAAGCATCTGGCCTAAAGGGTCAGAGACAATACAACATTTCCTTTTCCATGTATGTGGCTTGGCAGTTGCCTAAGCTGATCTGTCAATACAGGTGCATCTGTACTTTTTGAAAATATAAGACAGAGCTATCTGGGAGAAAACTGTTTCCACTCTCTTTTCTGCCTAATTATTTTTTTTAAGTGGGGGTTCTAGGACACATTTTACTTACTACTTATAGATAATAAATGATAAGTGAATGGTTCTATTCTTTATGTTAGGCATACCCTCTGTAATAAGCAATAGCTTTTCATTCATTCAGCAACCTTTGTTGAGTACTCATTGTTTATCATTATAAATGACAGGGTTCCTTGTTATACAGGTTCCAGCAGCAGTTCCATCTAAATGGAGATAGGCTTTTCAACGGATAGAGTAAATGGTCGACAAATGTAGTAAATGTTAAAGCTATTATGTCAGTCTTTCTAGAATTCAGCTAAGAGTACAAAATAGGGAAGAGCTTCCTGTTGGAATCCAGGAAGCTTTATGAGGTATGTAATTCTTTTTTTTAAATATTTATGTTTTTTAGTTGTAGTTGGACATAAACCAGGGATCAAACCCAGGGCCCCACGCATGCTAGGTGAGCGCTCTACTGCTGAGCCACAATCCTAGCCCCTAGGGAATGTAATTCTTGAGCTGAGTCTTGAAAGGTGGGAAGTGGCCTTATTAAACTCTAACCATTAACAGTGTACACTCCTCTTTGTATGTACACTAGCAAGAATACTTTTACCAGAAGGGTATAATTATTCTTTAGTCTTCTAAGATATAGTATCAAGCTGTTATATGTTCTATATCAAAGTGGAATTTTATGCTTTGAAGATTTAAAGGGTACATCAGAAACTGCGGGTTACAGAAGGCAAGGTTTCCATCTGGAAAGATGAGCTAGCATGGGAACCAGGATCCTGGATCCATGGTACAGGGTCCAGGAGATCAGAGTCAGCAAGAGGGACCCCAGTGGAGCAGGTTACACTGATAAGTAGGGTGTAATATTTTTATCCTAGGCTCATTTCATATATCCTATATGCAGTGTATGAGCTAACCTAAGGGAGTTCAGAAATCAGCAGGAAAATTATTCCTTAAATAAGCAGAACAGAGGTACTAAAGCTAAGAATAGACTTCATACTAGCTGGGATAGCTATTATGATAACCATAATAATGTAGTTGTTTTTTTTTTTTAAATAAGGCAAATAACAAGTGTTGGTGAGAATATGAGAAATAGAAACTTAATTTCTCTTAAGAATGTAAGATGGTTCAGTTACTGTGAAAAAAAGTCTAGTGGTTTCTAAAAAATTAAACATGGAGTTACCATATAACCCAGCAATTGCATGCCTAGATATATTAGCCAAACAATTGAAATAGATAGTCAAACAAGTATATGTATGCATGTGTTCATAGCAGCATTAGTCACAAGAGTCAAAAGATGTAAACAGCTCAAATGACCATTAGCAGATGAGTGGATCAATACAATTGTTACATACATGCAATGGAGTATTATTCAGTCATAAAATGGAGTGAAGTTATATATGCTGCAGTATAGAGAAACCTGAAAAACATTATGCTAAGTAAAAGAAGCTGACAAAAGATCATGTATGTTTCCATTTATTTGAAATACCCACCAGGGCTGGGGATGTGGCTCAAGCGGTAGCGCACTCGCCTGGCATGTGTGCGGCCCGGGTTCGATCCTCAGCACCACATACAAACAAAGGTGTTGTGTCCGCCGAAAACTGAAAAATAAATACTAAAATTCTCTCTCTCTCTCTCTTGAAAAAAAAAATAAAGAAACATCATGTGTCCATGTCTCGCAGCTGTTCTGGCTCAATTAATTGTGGGTTTGAAACATTAAAAAAAAAAATGAAATACCCACCATAGATAAAGCCATAGACATAAACTCAGCTTGATGGTTGACAGGGGCTGGAGAGAGAGGAGAATAGGGAGAAACTGCTTAATGGATAAGAAATTTTACTTTGGAGAATAGAAATGTTTTAGAACTAGACATCATGTATCTACTCTATGCCACTGGATTGTTCACTTTAAAATGGTTAATTTTGTATTATATGAACATTGCCTCAATAAATAATAATAATTAGCATTATTATTATTTTGGTACCATGGATTGAACCCAGGGGCATTCAACCACTGAGCCACGTCCCCAGCCCTATTTTGTTTTTTATTTTGAGACAGGGTCTAGCTAAATTGCTTAGGGCCTTGTTAAGTTGCTGAGGCTGGCTTTGAATTTGAGATCCTCCTGCCTCAGCCTCCCAAGCTGCTGGGATTACAGGTATGCACCACTGCGCCTGGCTAATAAATTATTATTATCATTATTTTATTTTACTGGTTCTTTTTAGTTATATGTGACAGTAGAATCAATCCATTTTGATATAATTATACAAGCATGAAATATATCTTATTCTAACTAGCACCCCGTTCTTGTGGATATACATGATGGTGGGATTCACTGTGATGTATTCATATATGTACACAGGAAAATTATGTCAGATTCATTCCACTGTCTTTTCTATTCTAGCCCTCCTCCTTTTCCTTAATTCTCCTTTTTCTAACCTATTAAACTTTTCTTTTTGCCCCACCCCCTTTATTGTGATTTAGCTTCTACATATTAGCAAAAACATTTGAGTTTTGGGGATTGGCTTATTTCACTTAGCATGGTAGTCTCCAGATCCATCATTTACTGGCAAATGTCATAAAGTCATTCTTTTTAATGGCTGAGTAATACTCCATTGTATACCACATTTTCTTTATCCATTTATCTGTTGAAGGGTACCTAGCTTGGTTCTATAGCTTAGCTATTATAAATTGTGCTGCTATAAACATTGATGTGGCTGTGTCACTGTAATATGCTGATTTTGGATACTCTTTTGGATGTATACAAATGATGTATAATAAATGATGTAAATGATAGCTGGGTCAAATGATGGTTCTATTCCTAGTTTTTTGAGGAATCTCCATATTGCTTTTTATAGTGGTTGTACCAGTTTGCAATCCCACCAATAATATATGAGTGAACCCTTTTCCCTACATCCTCACCAACATTTATTGTTACTTGTATTCATGATAATTGCCATTCTGACTGTAGTGAGGTGAAATCTCAGTGTAGTTTTAATTTACATTTCTCTAATTGCTAGAGATGTTGAACATTTTTTTCATATATTTGTTGACTGATCGTATTTCTTCTTCTGTGAAGTGTCTGTTCAGTTCCTTTGCTCATTTATTGATTGGGTTTTTTTTTTTAATTTTAAGTTTTTTGAGTTCTTTATATTCTGGAAATTTATGCCCTATCTGAGGTGCAGGTGGCAAAGATTTTCTCCCAATAAATTATTTTTTAACAACCCAAACAACAAAAGAAAGAATATATTGAGCAATATATTGAAGATGCAAATATATGCATCTTCAATATTTATAAACACTGGACTTCCATTCAGAGAACTTTTATATTGAGCTTCATCATAATTTAAAAGTTTTACACTTTAAGAAGTGAAAAGACTGGGGCTGGGGATGTGGCTCAAGCGGTAGCGCGCTCGCCTGGTATGCGTGCGGCCCGGGTTCGATCCTCAGCACCACATACAAACAACGATGTTGTGTCCGCCAAAAACTAAAAAATAAATATTAAAAATTCTTTAAAAAAAAAGAAGTGAAAAGACAATTCACAGAATAGAGAAAGTGTTTGCAAACATTATATTTCAAAAATGATAACAAATATATGCATCTTCAATACTTATAAATCCTAGACTTCCATTCAGAGAACTTCTTTATAAATTTTAGGAAAGAACCTTGAAATGATAGGAGATTTTTTCAAAATTGCCACTTAAGGGGCTGAGGCTGTAGCTTAGTGGTAGAGCACTTGCCTGGCACCTGTGAGGCCCTGGGTTCAATCTTTAGCCCCAAA